AGCACTTCTAACAGTTAGGGGATAGGAACAGTTAGGGGATAGGATATTGCACAAAGTTCTAGTACATCGAGGACATGGACAGTGTCCATGACGATTACTGGTGACCAGGTGTCACTTGTGGGACTGAGCTACTGCTCTTTCCTTGATATCCATCCTGTAGACCTGAACAGAATCATGACCCACAGGGTGCAAGAGAAGTCCATTTGTAGAGTATGCTGATGGAAATATTTTGCTGCTATAAATGAAAGAATAATTGAAAGACTGCTGTTGTATATCTCTTTTTCTCCTGTGTTTAATTGTTTACCTATTTGGTGGGTTCTTTCTGTTCTCATTCATGGAGTTGTGATCATTTTGATCCCTCTCTAGAATATCTTTTAGTAGTCTGTGTAGGATTGGTTTTGTCGCCATGAAATTCCTTAGTTATTCTTTGTCATGGAAATATTTCACTTTGTTGTTATACTTGAAAGAGAGTTTTGCAGGGTATATCAATCTTTGTTGAAATTTGTTTTCTTGAAAGACTTGTAGTACTTTGCTCCATGCTGTTCTTGCCTTGATGGTTTGTGAAGAGAAATCTGCTGTTACTCTGATGGGTTTTCCTTTAAATGTGATCTGTTTCTTTTCTCTAGCAGCTTTTAGTATACAATTCCTGAATTGAGTTTCTGGGATCTTGATTATTATATGTCTGGGTGTGTTTTTAATTGGGTTAATGTTATTTGGAGTTCTATATGCTTTGGTTACCTGAATGTCAGATTGTTTCCCCATATTTGGGAAGTTTTCTGCTATTACTTCTGCCCATATTCTTTTTATATCATTTGTATTGACTCCTTTTTTCTCACTGATGCCTGTTAGTCTTACATTGTTCATCTTTGCATCGTCTTGCAGTTGTTGAATTATTTTTTCCTGCATCCTAGTTGTTTTAAAGAGATCTTTTCTTACTTTTTCACTAGCTGCCATGGTGTCTTCAAGGTCTGAAAGTCTATCTTCACTTTCATTCAAATGGTTTTACCAGCTTGTGATTGAGGTTTTAATTTCCTGTGTATCACTTTGAATCTGCTTCATGCAATCTATTTCTTTCCTATATTGTTCATTCAAGGATTCTGTCATTTTTATATTCTCTATATTTTTTTTATCAGTGTCTTCTTTAGAAGCACTTTTTTCCTTCAGAAATTATTTCTGATCTGATTTCTGTAGCTGTTTCTTTACTTCAAAGGCTATTATTTCAGAGATTTTAGGTGTGTGATTTCTAATTTCTTCTATGCTATTGTCTCCTGCATTTGTTCTGGGTGGACTCAGGGCCTGAGAATGCATTTTGCTCCTTCTCTTTGTCATTTTGTATAGCACTGTCTTCTGACCTTTGGTGTAGAGCTTTGGTAGAGTTATTACCTTAGCACCAGGTCCAGATCTACCAAGTTCAAACTCGTCCAGGTGGATGTGGCTTGGCTCTGGCTTCTCCACTTCTTCCTGCTACAGCCCTTGGATATGAACCCGGTACGCCACTCTCACAAGATGTTCTGCTCCTGGAACAGCTGGGTGGGGCTTGCCTCTAGCCTCTCTGCAGGGAGTTCTGCCCTTGGGTTCTACACTGTACCTGTCTGATGGATGAAGTTCTACTCACCAAAGATATTTATTTTTATGGGTAAATCTTCTACATTTTTAGGCATTATTTAGAAACTGAGAGCACAGGAGAGGAATGAGCAGAAAAATTCATAGCCTCAGAAAGTTTATATATAATTTTTTTTTTTTTTTTGTGGAACCGGGGATTGAACTCAGGCCCTTGTGCTTGCTAGAGAAGCACTTATTCCACTAAGCCATCTCCCTGGCCCCTATATATAATTTTTTTAAGTAAGTTTATATTCTGAAAGTTTTCAAATCTTCTGCTCCACATCCGTATCCTAAGGTCTGGACCTCTATGCCCAGCAGTTTCCTGGATTTATTCCCTTAAGATGTCTCATAGATACTCTCAAGTCCAGATGCCCAAGCCCTCAATTGATCATTTCCCTCTCCCTGCCCCTTTGTTGTATTTTTCTTCTCAGTGAATGTCACATGTAATAGCTCAAGCTAAAAACCTAGCTGTAGTTACTCATAAAACTCTATTGATTTTTACTTTCAGAATAGCTCATGAGAAGGGGCTGGGGAAATGGCTCAATGGAATAAGCGCTTCCCTGGCAAGCACAGAGGCCTGAGTTCAATCCCCGGTTCTGCAAAAAAAAAAAAAAGAATATCTCATGAATTTGTCCACTTCTTTCCATGCCCTCTGCCACCAATAATTCAGGCTATCAACAGAAGTATATAACCTCCTCCCAACTAGCGCCCCTATTCTACTAACTATTGACCTACCATAGCACTCTTCTCTTATGGAATGGCAAATGTGATCTTCTCTCTCCCTTTTTATTTATTTATTTAAAATTTTTTTATTCATTTTAATGAGAAAAAAGATAAAATAGTAATGATAACAGTTTTAAAACAGGTTAGTAGGGGCTGGGGAGATGGCTCAGTGGAATAAGCACTTCCCTGGCAAGCTCAAGAGCCTGAGTTCAATCCCCAGTTCTGAAAAAAAAACAAGCAACAACAACAAAAAAAACAGGTTAGTAGGATGTTTACAGTAATTAATACATTGCATATTGTTGTCTTCATGATACTTATTTTCTTCCCTTTTAAAAGCTGTGGTAGCCATGCATTGCTCTTTAGATAACCAAAACTCCTAACATTACATAATTTCTTTACAATACTAAAGATCAGTTTTTTTGTTTTTGTTTTTTTTTTTGTAATTCTGCAGCCTTTTTCAGATATGTCAGAATTATTTTAATTTACTGGGTGTGCCTTTCCACATACAATTTCATTTTTCCTATGACATTTCCCCTTTTTCTTTCTCAGTTCTTACACCTAGCAAAATCTAAGTGGTTTGGTTTTATTTTAATTTTAGTTTTTGAGACAGGATATTGTGTATAACACAGGCTGGGCTTGAACATCTTGGTCCTCCTTTCTCAGTCTCCTGAGTGCTAGGATTAGAATACTTGGATTATAGGTGTGTACCACTATATCCTTAGTAGTTGTCCTACAAGCTAATGAATTTTTTTGGGGGATAGAGGGGGCAAAGTTGCTTAATTAGACTAGTATTACTTGTTTTATAATGAGACTGGGCTTAAATTTTGGGAACTGGCTTGTTAGAAAGAATGACAGTTTAAAAGGTTTTTCAGTTTTAGAAAAGGAGCTGGTAGATGAGAGCAGATTATTCATTCAGTTTACTAATACAAATATATTTATTAGGCACCCTTTATGTAAAAGAAACTGCTATGCAGTGCTGTGGAGCGCTCAAGGATGAGGTGGTATCAAGCAGGGAGAGCCTTCTTTGCCCTCAGAGTTATGCTGCAAAACAGCAGAGTCACTTGTCTGAAGCCATCTAGGTTAAAAGGCATATTCTAAGGTTCTATGTGATTATTTTTTCAATTTTTTAAAACAAAGTCATTATCCTTTAGCAGTTGCTATAGCAACTATACTATAGCCTACTAGAATTTTAATCCCCACTCCCGTGGTTAGAAGATGAAATCAATCATTAAAAATTTTAAATGGCACACTAAACCAACATGCCCTCTCTGAGCTGAAAAGAGATGGAGGTGATAGGAAAAAGGTAAGTGCCTGGGAGGAAAAGCAGTTTTTGCCCTGTAGCTAAATTAAATAGCCTGGGACTGATTAGAAGTCCCATATGCTTAGGATAGAGGTTAACTCAGGTAAGTGCAAACAGCTTGGGTTGGCATCTTTTGATGCTCTCCGACTTTGAGTTTTATGGCAAAATTTCAAGGGAGCTGTGCCTTCAGAATTCCATGGACCTTCCGCGCCACATATTGAAGGTCCCTTTGAGGACCTAAGGGGTATTGGTGTATGCAGATCATAGAAATTGTTTTTTTCCTGCCATCTATTTATTAGGAACTTATAAGGAAAGCAAAAGCCTGGCAGCATGACAAAGCAACAGACACTACTGCTGACCATGTTCCAGGGGCTGTGCTAAATAATTTATGTGCATTTTCTCAAATAATCTTTATACTAGCCCAGAGAGACTCATATTATTATTATTCTCACATTACAGATGAGGAAATATCTGTTATGACTGATTCAAAATCAGATTGCTAATGTGTGGCAGAGTCAGAACAACTGAGCTTTGATTTTAAAACTCATGTTCTTAATCAGGAAGCTAAATTACTACTTCTTTCCTAGGGTTAACGGCCTATTTTTAGTGATTCATTAGAATTAGTTGGCTCGTTCAGCTTATTGGATAGGATTTAAGTTTAATTAATATTTAGATTTTACTTTGAAAAAATGTAAAGTTTTCAGTTTTTTCTGCTATCAAAGCTTTGTGTTTTAATGGTCTTTATTAAATGTTTATAGATAATTCAGAAAAAGTGGCTCTCTCAGGACCCAATAGACTAGAATATTTTATTACATTTTGGAATATTACAGATTTAGTTTTTAAGAGCTAGATATTGCCATTTGCTGGCCTTTTTCTTTCAGTATAAAGCAGTGGAATTGGCATTGTCATTCTCCAGGCCTCCCTCCATTGTGTCGGGGCTGATTTCTCATGGGTGTACTGTGGCACACTCAGGTTTGACTGACACAGAGACAAGGAAGAGCTTCTTAGAGATGGGAGGTAGAATTTTGCTGCTTTTGACCCAGGAAAGGCACCAGAGCACCTAAATTGTGGTGCTTGAAGAGAGATCTAGGCCAGCAGAAGGTTTAATATGGTATGAAAGCCATAGGTTTTGTTGTTATTTTGTTATTTTCTAGTAAATAGCAAAGAGTGAGAGTACTCTGTAGACTTGTCTCATGTTTTATAAAAGGCAGATATTCTGTTATATAAGTTTACAAGTAGGAAGATACTCTTGTTATATAAAGCTGTATGCAAGTAGGGTAGGCTTAACTAAGGTAAGGTATATAATTGGTGGATAGGGAATGAAATTTGAATTTCTGCTAAAATTGTCTCTGTCACTTCTTTGTGGTTTTCTTAGGTCACTGGACCTATTTGGGCTGGGGAGAACAGCAAAGTACGTAAGAATTAAAATTCTGTGTCATTTTTTTAATCTTACCTTTTAATGTGATTCCTGTGAACCATGAACCTGGATATTCATGCATATAAGCATATATAATTCCATTTTCTTGCCCTTAATTCTCAGGAGACAGTTACATATAATGGAATGCTAAATCCTTCCAGGGTGGTTTCTTGAAGTAAATGTGAGTGTGTGTGTGTGTGTGTGTGTGTGTGTGTGTGTGTGAAAGAGAGAGAGAGAGAGAGAGAGAGAGAGAGAGAGAGACAGACAGACAGACAGACAGATAGACAAGGAGACAGGAGACAGACACACAGAAAGACAGACACAGCAATAGCCAAATTAAGCTACTCCTGACAAGATAGCTTGATTGGTACTTCCCTAGAGGCAAGCAGTTTTGTCAGCCCCCTAGTGTAGGAAAATCCTTTCCACTGCTTTTTTAGGCAGAAGATTTATTCAGGGATGAACTAAAGGTAGGATTTTGTGCATTTTAATTTGGATGAATAATACTAGTATGGGGAGGTTTTCAGAACAGACTATTGTCACAGGTGTATTAATCTTGGAAAGGGAGAATATCATTTCAGCCAAAAACCTGATTTTGTAAAGAAAATGAGGCTGAAAACATGGTTTGACTTTCCTTGAAGCAGCCCATCTAGATTGGACACCACCTTTGGTATAGACCATAGTGGGTAGCCAGTTCTTCCTGTCAAAATATACAACTCTAGGCTACTGGCTGTGTTACTCATCTGATAGACTGATGCAACGGGTGCTAAGAAAGGCCAAAGTTTCTTCTGCCATTGGCATTTCTCACCAAGCGTGTAGCTCCTATAGTTTGAATCGTGAGTATTTTTGCCATTAGAGAACTGTTCTAAAGTAACCTCTGCAAGCTCAGATAAGTTAAGGTTTTCAAGTAGGAGGGAAAAACCTGCTATGAAAAAGTGTTTCTTTCATTTCTTCTGTGGATGATTAAGTTCTGTCTGTACTCACAATTTAAACAGTGCAGCAGAATCCAAAAGTACTGTATACCAGAGAGCATGACTGAGTGCTTTCTTTTGTGTTTGGAGGCCATCTTTGGCTTAGGTTAAATTACTTTCCTCAACCTCCTTTTCCAGGCTTGTTTTCTGCTATTCCATTCCACATTCTTTTATGCAGATGCTAGGCAAACTAACAAAGTGTATCTCAAGAAAATATAGCTTTCCTAACTTTGTGCCTTTAATCATGTCATTGCCTTTACCCATATAATTGAAGATATTCATTCCCTCTCCTTCTAGTCTTCAACTATTAAGAACATGCAGCTCTTCAGAAGTATGTCCTCCCTGATGCTTTTTGTACTGGCCCTATAAGGAAGTGAACTTACTTTACTTCTAACTCATGTAACACTTGAATTTATGCTGTTATGCAATAACTTCCTTATATAATTCAATATTTGTATTTGTATTTTATTTTCTTCTCAGATTGACTTACACTTTGAGTCTTCTATGCTTAACCTTGTTTGTGGAGATACTCAGCATCTGAAGGAATAAATAAATGTTCCCAGATAGTTTCAAGTAGAGTATCAGGGGCTTTTCAACTTTTGCCCTTAAACTAGCCCACAGGTCCCTCCTTATGTTTATTAGCAACAAAACCTGCACTAATTAGCTTCTTTTTCCCTGCAAAGTTAGGAGTTTCATTGTCTAAGATGACACAGTACTATGGGGTAGGTTGTAGACACAGTTAAAAATAGTGACTGACATACTAAAGCACAGCTCTTTTTCTTTCTTTTTTTTTTTTTCTTCCAGAACCGGGGGTTGAACTTAGGCCCTGCACTTGCCAGGCAAGCACTGAGCTATCTCCTTGGCCCAGCTCTTTTATTAAAACTGAAATGTAACATATTTTCCTTAGTTTCTCATTTTGGTTTCTAATTAGACTTGTTTGTACCAGGAATTTTACTTGCTAAGGAAGTTGAGGGTGATACAGAGAGAAAACTGTATTTATTTTTCCTATCTTTCTTTGGGAGCGTGTATGACTCAAGTGTGGTTTCCTGGCTTATGTGCTAATACTGTCCTGCTGCAATTGATGGAGACTTTTGGTTTTGTCACTCTTGTTGCCTCTGCCTGCTCATCTGTATGCATGAATAGTCCAGCACTGACTTTTTCAGACTTAGTTTTTTTGTGGATTCAGAAAGATTAAGTCTGAAGGTCATATTGATTTTGTCTCTTGATTGTCTCTTTTTAATCTTTAGAACCACAAATGCTTCAAGGGATAAAATCAGTGTCTCCAGAATCTCTTTTTCCTAATGTATCATCAGAATACTTTCCATCCTTTTTGTTTTTTTTTTTTTTTCCAACCTTTACTACTCTTATCCTGACCAGAATACTACCTGGCTTTAACAGGCAAGAATTACTGATAATTGTGTCTGACCATGTGAAGGTTAGCCTCTTTTTCTTGCTGACTTTTGTCCACTCCTGGAGTTTTAATCATCTTTCCCTCTCCCTGTCTCTCTCTATTCCTCCTCCCACTCCCTTTCCCCCTCCCTTCTTTCCTTTCCTCCCTTCTTTCTTTGACTCTGTCTCTCTTTTTGTGTCTGTTTCTTTCTCATTAAAATAAACTCAAATGGAAAAATCTCCTTATGTGTACCACTAGCCTCACCTTTCTGTAAACTCAAATGAGAAAGCTTAAAACTCCTACTCCCTATCTGTACCCATAGTTGTTATGTGGAATCCAGTCCTCAAACGTCCTTCTGTGGTTGTAAAACCCACATGTTCATGCTCCCTCTTTTAGAGCAATTACTTCCTAGCTGTGTGACACAGAAAACAAATGGTCATCTTTGTATCACTGTCTTTGTCGTCAGCTTTTACAATTTCTGTTTTTTTTCCTTAGTTTATTAACTTTTTCATTACTACTGTGCAGATAAGTCCTTATCTCTTGCTTAAGCAATCATAGAAGCCCGATCTTAAGGTCTTCAGGAACTTATGTTGCCCATGGTTACATTGATTATCTTCTAAAATCACTAATATGAGGGCCAGGGAGATGGCTCAGTGGAATAAGTGCTTCCCTGGCAAGCGCAAGGGCCTGAGTTCTATACCTGGTTCCACAAAAAATAAATAAATAAATAAATAAATAAAATAAAATAAAATAAAGTTACTAATATGAAGAATCTCTCCTCTGCTAAAAACATCCCCTTTGAGGAATGGAGAATGCTTTTCTCATTGTGAGCCAGATAGGAACCTGGCAAGAAAGGATATGTAGGTTCTTTTTAATCAAGTGTGTGGTATCAGATGGCTTTCATATAAAGTAGGCTAGATACATCATTAGGTTGAGCTCCTTTTCATGCTTTTTTTTTTTTTTTTTTTAGACAGGGGCCTGCTATGTAGTATAGGCTGGCCTTAAACTCACTTATGTATCCCAGGCTGGCCTTGACTTCATGGCAGTCCTCCTGCCTCAGCCTCCTAAGTGCTGGGATCACAGTCATGTGCCACCATTCCCAGCTTTCCATGTACATTTTGATTTGCAGAAGTGGTCATTTCAGTTAATGACAAGGAAAATACTTACATAAAAAACAAATAATTTTATAAAATTTTAATGATTACTATTAGGTAAACATGGCACTGTCAGCAGAATTCCACAAGTAGGTTCTCTGGATGGGAATTCTGAGCCTCAATTAGAGGTGCTTGACAGGAATTTGTTATAACACCTGACATGGCATCTAGACAGGGAGATTGCTGCCATTCTCAGCTGCACTCAAAGCCTTTCACCTGACTTCTGAGCCTTAGCTTTAATGATCTTTATTTTCAGAACAAGCTCCTAATGTGGAACCTGCCTGTTTGGTTTAATGCATACATTTTAAAATCTGAAAACACTAGGCCAACTTTAAGTAAAATGTTTTTTCTAGGATAAAATTTTTTTCTCCTTTTGCCCTCTCCCCTTGATGGAGAAACAGAGTTTATTTGTGACATTTAGAAAGTTAGGATTGTGATAGCTAGAGAGGCAAAATTCCAGAGAATTGTGGGTTAGGAAAATGTAACTTGGATCTCTACTAAGAATCAGCACTAAAATGGAATCAAGTGTCTGATCTCATTTGACAAGGAGAGAGACTGTGAGTTATTAATGAAGACAGTTCTGCACATGGCTTTGAGGTCACTGGACTCGTGTGCAGCTCTACTTGCTTTTGTTCTCAAGGTTCAGGCTTGGGACTGCTTCAATTAGAAACAAAACATTCATAAGAACTCACTAAACCTGGGGTGCGTGGGCTGTGCTTATTCTACAGCTTTTGAAGACCCTGATAGTGCCGTCGATGACCGAGACAGTGACTATCGCAGCGAGACCAGCAACAGCATCCCACCTCCTTATCATACAACTTCCCAGCCCAATGCTTCTGTGCACCAGTTTTCTGTGCCGGTGCAGTTGCCACAGCAGCTGCTACTTCAGGGAAGTTCCCGGGACTCTTGTAATGACTCTATGCAGAGTTATGACCTTGATTATCCAGAGCGGCGGGCCCTCAGGTGGGTGTTGAGAACAAACTACTTTCTTTTCTTAGTATCTAGGTCCATGGTACACCTGACAAAGTGCTTTCATATGAGGTGGTAGTGGAAGCGTAACAGTAAGTTAGGCCATGCTACAGTTATTATTTTTTTTTTTTTTCTCTTCTATACATTCACACACATCTCCACTAGGAATGCTTTTTATGATTAGTGATTCTCAGCTGATGTGGACATTCTCACTTGGGGTAGATGGCTGAAAATAAATTGCTGCCCCCCCACCCCTACCTAAGTGATTTTTTAAAATGTACTTTTCACCAAGAGTTTAAAGAGGAAATCACAAATATTATATGTTTGGTTACACCTGCCTGTTTTATTTCTTGGGAATTTCATGAAAAACCAATGAGATCTCACTATCACAAATTTTGCACTTTTGCTGTAACTTGATTTTAATTTAATGCATGGGTAAAAATTTTAAAGTATAATATAGCATACATGAAAGAATTTCCCACCTCTGTTTTTTCTCTACTTTATTCCCTTCCTGTCTGAGTTCCCTTGCCATTACTATTTAAGTGAACCTCTAAAGACTATTGTCACTTATTTGTGAGTATAAAAGAAAGCATTTAAATTTATGTTCCTCCATTTTCCAGTGTTTTAAAAAATTATTTCAAACTTAAAGAAAATTTGGAGAAATAGCCAGGTGTGGTAGTACATAATACTAGCACTCAAGAGGCTGAGGCAGGAAGAAAACAAGTTCAAGGCTATCCTTGGCTACATTGTGAGTTTGAGGCTAGTATAAACTATGTAGTGAGACCCTGTCTCAAAAAGCTAAAACAAACAATAATTGGAGAAATAATAAATGAATAACCGTATTTTTGTTCTTATGAATAACCATATTCTTGGAATTCAGTTGTGTTGACATTTTGCCCCATTCACATCTCCTTCATAATATATATTCATCTGTTTTTTTCTGAGCAATTTGACAGTCAGTTGCACATACCATGTTACTTTTCCAGAAAGTACTCCAGCGTGTAACTCCTAAGAAAAGGTCTGTTTAAAAATGTATTCCTCTCCTTTTTTGATCTGAGATCCTGTCAAGAATCACAAAGCCATTGTATTTGATTTTCCTATTTTTTTAAGTCTTTCATCTTGCAAAATTTCCTTAATCTATTTTTGCAGTCTTTTTTTTTTCCCTGATTATTTTTTCATGTCTAGAATCAGTTTAAACATTTTGACAAAAACACTACATAGGGAAATGTTTCCTTCAGTCCGTTCAGGAAATGTATACTTTATCTTATTATTGGTGATGTTTAGTTTGATGTCTTGGCTAAGAAATTTGGTATATATTATATTACGTGTAAAGTTACTTTCTCATTTGTAAATAATAATATCTGGAGTGATACCTGATTTATTCTTATCCTACTTTCCCAGTAACCTTTTATCTGATAATTTTTTGTACCTATTGATCCTTCCTTAAATCATTTATTTCTTGGTTAGGGATTAGTTTTTTTTTAATTACAATTTAATTTGGACTTGTTTTATTTTGTTTTGTTTATTTTTTTGAGACAGGGTTTCACTATATAATTCAGACTAAACTTGAACTCAATATGTAGCTCAGGCTGTCCTCAAACTTGCAATACTCTTCCTGCCTCCGGCTCCCTAGTACTGGGATTATAGGCATGGGCTACCATTTATAAAATTCACCAAGCCATAGGATGATAGGATTTTTTTCCCCCACCTTAGACTACTACATTGGTGAATTTTTAGCCTGAGCCTCAAAAGGCTATCTACCTGCTAGACAACATCCTATCCAAATTTGCTATCATCTCTGAAAATACTTTCAGTGAAATTTTCTTATCTGTCATCCCCAGCATAAAATTTGTACTGTACTGTTTTATTTCATTTTGTTTTGTTATGAGAGAGGGTGTCACCATGTAGTTGAGGCTGGCCTTCAACTCACACTGTGTAGCCCAGGCTGGCCTTGAATTCATACTAATCCTTCTGTCTCATCTTTCATGTGCTGAGATTTCAGGCATGTGCCACCACACCTAGATAAAGTTTATGCTTTTTTTATTTGGAGCCTAAAACAAAATATATTAAGAATCCTTCTGAAATTTTTGCCTACTCATTGATAGTTTATTAGTTGAATGCTTGCAATTTTTTTTTTTTTTAAACAGAATAGATCTTGTTCTATTGACCAGGCTAACTTGAAACTGATGGACTCAGGTATTCCTCTTCCTCAGCCCCATGAATAGCTGCAATGAGAGGCATATGCTACCAAACACTTCGAAGCTTGTATGATTTATTTATTTGATTTTTAATTTGTGGTGTTCTATTTCCTCTCCTTCCACTGTGCTCTTAATTTTAAAAAATTTTCTGTTATCTTTTTTATTGGTTATACATATCAATGGGTTTTATTTTAGTACATTCCTTCATGTACATACCTTTGATAATTTCTAGCTCTATCACCTCCTGCCCCAACCTTCCTCCTAGTTTTACATTTTTTGGAGGGGTTCCAGTGTATTTGTCCATATCCATCCTTCCGTTACCCACTCTTATGTCCTCATCCCCCATGTCCTTTTTCTCTTCATCTTGTCTAATAGTTTCCCTTCTACTTTTTGGTCATATTTTTTAGATTATATTGTTCCACTTTAAGAAAAAAAACAATAGCAAGACTTTGTTTCCCTTCTATATCTACAAGCATTAAATGTGCAGGCCAAGAGCCACGTGTAGTGGTACATGCCTGTAATCCCAGCACTCAGGAAGCAGAGGCAAAAGGATTGCTGTAAATTTGAAGGCAATCTGGGTTACGTAGAGATTTCTAGGTCAACCTGCGTTGCAAACCAAGAATATGTTCTCTCTTGACCAAGCTATATCACTGGCCCTAAGGCCCTGTCTTAAAAAACAAAACAAAACAAAACAAAACAAAAAGTGCTGGTCAGCAGTACTAATGGCATATCAACCTAAATAACTACATATCCTTCCATTTGCAACAAATTATAATTTACCTAATCACTACTTTTTTTTTTTTTTTTGGCGGAACCAGGGATTGAACTCAGGCCCTTGCGCTTGCCAGGCAAATGCTTATTCCACTGAGCTATCTACGCAGCCCCATAATCACTACCTTTTAATTTTGATTATTTCCTGGGTTACCTCCATAATAAGTAACTAGTATTAGTGATACACTTTAATTAATTAATTAATTAATTAATTATTTGTATTGTAGTATAAGATCTACATGGTCTTACTATGCAGATAGGACTCGTAGTGAGCTGCCTGTGTTCAGCCTTCCAAGAGCTTGGATTACAGGCATGCGCCACCACGCCCAGTCTCAATTGCCATCTCAGGGCACCCTGGGGCGGGGCCAGCACAGCAGGCCAGGGATCGAACCCTGGCCACTGTGCTCTGCCTAAGCAGGCGCTTTAATCTACTGAGCTATTTGGCTGGCCCTAGTGATACACTTTAAATTGCAGGGGTTTTTTTCTAGTTATTCCATATAATGGGAGATAGCTCAGTGGTCTAAGCACCTGCCTGGCAAGTACATGGACCTAAGTTCAATCCGTGGCTCCTCATGCTGCTCCGGTCCCCAAACCAGGTGTGATGGCACACCCCTGAAATCCCAGCACTGGGAAGGCTGAGATAGGAGGATCACTACAAATCTGAACTATGTAGTGAGACCCTGTAACAAATAAATAATTAAATAAAATTCTTTAAAAATTAAACTTAGGGAGATGGCTCAGTGGAATAAGTGCTTCCCTGGCAAGTGCAAGGGCCTGAGTTCAATCCCGGGTTCCGCCAAAAAAGAAAAGAAAAAAAAATTAAACTTTACTATATCAGTATATGAAGTGAGATTGAAAAGTAAAAATTTTGTCAAGTGCCAGTAGGAGAAAAACCAAAAGGATTTTGTTTCTTTTTTCCATAATTTTATTGATAAACAAATAGCAATGAGACAGTTTCAAATCAAATTGGTAGGACAGTTTCAATAATTAACACACTGCATACATTCTTCCTAGTGGCTAATTGCTGTACAAAATGCAGGCATGATATCCTATTTACAAACACCATTAGAACAAATCACTGTATTCATTAAGAGAATGTAACTATATATCTATCCTAACCACTTTGAATACACAGATACAAAAATGGACATTCATTTGTATGCCCTTTTTTTGTTAAGTTCCATTATTTGAATATTATAGGTATGTAAACTCAGCAAAATATTCAAAAAGAGTCCAGTAGCCCATAATAGCATTGGGTCTTCCACTTGACTGGCAATGTCAGAAGTTGTTGACCTGAGTCCCCTACAGCTCAACATAACAGCATGGCTTTACTTCTTATATATCATTTTTATACTTTTCTGCTGGATGGTTAAGACCAAGGTAAAGCAGGACCTATGCAACAAGAGTTGTAGCTTTTGGGTCTCATAGGTCAGTGAAATCCCCTCAGGATTTATCCTGAGATCCTGTACCTCAGATTGTAGAACCTTTGTCAGTGCAGCCATGTGGATGACTCACGACCATTGCTTGGCCAATGTGCTCTCTGTGAAAGCCTGAGAGAATGTTTTCTCTCCATGTGACTCTCCTTAGGCACTGTCTACATCATCGATCACTTTCTTCTTTGGCCCCATAATCTCCTTGATCAGAAAATTTGGGACACTACTGAGTTACATGACATTACAGTACAAGTTCTCATATGTCCTGAGGATTTTTAGTTTTATAATAGACTTTTTTTAAAGTATAGGGATCAAACTCAGGGGTGCTGTACCATTGAGTTACACTCGCCCTCGCTTAATTTTTTTGATTTGAGACAGTTCTTTAGTAAATCACTCATCCTGGATTCAAACTTGCAATCTTGCTTCAGCATTGCAAAAGGCTTAAATTATAAGAATGTGCCACCTTCACCTGATATTATGAACATTTTAGGCAATATTTTGAAGTGATTTCTCCTTCTTACAACTGCATTAAAAAAAGAACATGGTTGAATTGGTTTTTTCACTCAACCAAGTGTACTTTTATTTTTTGAAT